TGCTTTTCAGGGGTAAGAAAGGCTCAAGGTGGCACTTAAAAGAAGTCGTGTCACGACTATCACCTTTAAATTTCTTTTTGTGTTTAATTTACAAACTTGTCTTTGGAATTGTAAACTTTGGTTAATGGTGTAATTAAAATTTTAATTGTATGGTTGTGTTTCTTTATACTCTATTGCTACGAGACTCTACCTGCCATACCTCGTGTTTCCGCTTTAGCGGGGTGTGACACATTTATATGTGTGTTGTATGATATAACTCTTTCTATTATATCCCTTAAGACTACCGTGGTCTGGAATCTTTATTTCTTTGTGATTTAAAGATTTAAGATCATGGTTCTTATTGAAAATCATAGTCTGGATGTTATTGAGGAGAAAATATCAGGCTTGGCCTGAAACTTTATATAAACCTTATTTGATTTGAAAAGGTTTAAAAGTGGCATTATATGAAACCTGATTGGTTCAGAGGTATGAGATTTGTATAGCTGAATACTTTGCTTAAAAAATGAAAAAGGATTTGGTATTACGTCCCTATTTGTTCATATATTTGTTATACATATGAATATTTGTTTTTCATAAAGATTTTGGTGATCTTCACCGTGCAATGACATAAATAGGGTATCTCACTAGACCTTTCGGTCTAATCCTCGTTTTGCGATTTTAACTATGTGTTGTAGGAGGTACAGATGGTAAGGGAAAGGGCAAGACTTAATATTTTTCTATATGCATTTCTGCTTGAAGATCTGTTATGGTGTACAGTTTTGATTGATTAGTACAAGAAATGTATTTTGAATTTTTGGACCTTGTATTTGGTCATGTTAGATTCATGTACTAAGGGACCTGAATGGAATGATATTACATATTTCTTTTGTATGAAATATGTGTTACATGCAATGTGTGGGTTGGGGCGTTTCAGTCCCAGACATAGTTAGCTCCATTGGAAATAAATATGATGGGTTGAAAGAATAGTGTGTAAGGTTAATTTTAATTACATCTGACCAGTGTAATTATGAATTTACAGGTACACATCTGAACTTGAATACTTCATTATATTTTGGGAATGTGAATACATGATTTTAACACTAAAATCTGCAGATGTCTAGCCGAACCAGAAGATCTGAAAGAATGGCTCATCCAGAATCTGAGGAAAGGGAAGAATCACCCGTTAATCTTCCGACTAGCACATCCGGAAATAGAGTTCGGGGAAGATTATGGGGACGAGGCAGAGGAAGAAGTTAGTCTCAGGGAAGGGGTCGGACCGAAGTCCATTCTGAACATGAAAAATCCCATTCTGGGAATGTTCAGGAAAGATCGGTGCCACACCCAGAATATGTGACTAAGGATATGTTGGCAGAAGAAATGGGGAAGTTACGAGAAACTCTGACATCTATCATGGGAGTACCAGCTAGAGTGGAAACAGAGAGAATAGAAGTTCATCCCTCGGTACTGGTTATTCATAACAAAGAGGGAGATATTAAAATGTTTTTGGCATGCAAGCCACCAACATTTTCTGGGGAGAGAGATCCAGTGAAAGCTATGTGCTGGATCAAGGAAATGGAATCTGTGTTCAACACCATTCGGTGTCCGAAAGCAGATAAAGTTTGATTTGCTGTTTCTGTATTGAAATCAAATGCTTTGTTCTGGTGGGAAGTTGAATCATCAGCCAAAACAGATGTTTTACACATATTGTCTTGGGCATAATTCATGGAACGATTCAAGAATCAGTTTTGTCCTAAGACGGAAGTTAGACAAATGGAAAAATATTTCCTGAAGTTAGAACAGGGAAATGGAACAGTTCAGGAATATACTGAGAGATTTATTGAATACTCTCACTTTACTGAACACTATGTTTCAAAAGAATCCAAAAAGATAGAAAGGTACATTTGGGGTTTAAAACCCTCAATCCGAGAGTTTGTAATTGCCATGAACCCCAATACCTTTTCGTTGACGGTAGATGCGGCCGAAGTAACTGAACGAAATAAGAACCGACAGCTAGAAGGAAAGGTTGTAGATAAAAGAAAATGGGAGGGACCTTCATCTTTTCGAGGACCGAAAACGATAAGATATGATAACAGATTTGAGTAGAAGATAAGTGAGAAAGTTTGCTCACAATGCCGACAGGTTCATCAGGGTGAATATAAGATGGACCCAAGAAATTGTTATAAGTGTGGTGAAACAGGTCATCTGTCCAGAAGTTGCCCGGCTAATCAAAGGTGTTTTAACTGCAATTCTCTGGATCATATTCGACCAAATTGTCCATTGTTAAGGACTCCACAACTGACAATGGGAAGTAATGCGTCGGGTACTCGGGGAAGACCTACTGTGAACGGAAGAGGGCAAGGAGGGGCACGAGGGCGGTCCTTCCAAATGACAAAGAACGAGGCAGAAACGTCACTAGATGTAGTAACATGTACCTTCCTTCTGAATTCAATACATGCTAAGGTGTTATTTGACTCCGGTGCAAACTTTTCGTTTGTATCCCCACTATTTGCTCAAACTGCATGTTTGAATTCTGTCTTAGTTGATGATGAATTAGTAGTCGAAACTGCTAATAGTCAGGAAATTGTTACTAGTGAAAAGTATTGGCTTTATGCTCTTACTTCTTCACATATTTGTGATATATATGAAAACTTATTTTACTTAAAAGTTTTGGTGATTTTCCCCCTGCAATAGCATAAATAGGGTAACTCACTAGACCTTTTGGTCTAACCCTCGTTTTGTGATTTTAAATATGTATTGCAGAAAGTGCGGATGGTAAGGGAAAAAGGAAACTGTGATAATTTTCCCCATATGTTTATTTGCATGAAGAATTGGTGATTATATGTATAGTTTTGGTAGATGATCAGGGATTAGTACAAGAATTTGTATTTTAAATTTTTGGACCGTGTATTTTATACTGATAGATTCTTGTTTTAACAGTCCAATGTGGGGTATAATATGTATTTCTTATGTAAGAAGTATGTGTTACATGTAATGTGTGGTTTGGGGTGTTATAGAGGGGGAGACAATGCTGAAGCTGGTCCTTCCGATGATGCTGCTGATGCTGTTCCAGCAACTGAAGCTGAGGCTGAAGCTCATACAACAGAAGCTGAAGCTGCTGCTGTTACTGATGACTCTCCAACTTCTTTTGAAGCTCCCGTAGCTGAGGATGTTGATGCCGACCGAGCTGAAGCTCGTGACGATGCTTCTCCTGTCACCTTTGCAGCTGATGCTGGTGATATGGATGAAGAAAGTGATGATGAAGAAGGCGATGAGTCCCCTGACCTTCCTGACACTGTCAAAGATCTGGACGATGATGACGATGAAGACAGTGATGATGACGACTTCAAAATTCAGTACCAGAAACCTGCCGATGCCATGAAAGGTGTCGCCCTCAGGGATTCTGCATCCTAGGGGAGCAATGGGTGAAAGAGGCTTCTTAAGAAAAGCACCAGGGTCCTAAGTTGAAAAGCAAAGGCGTCATTGAAGAAGGGAACTTAAAGGTATTATTCCAATCTACTCAACCCTTATTTGAACACTCCTCATCTCAGGTAGTCATCACCTCTATGTATCAACTTGATATACCCTCAACTACCTACGGTCGGCTGGAATGGGTCCCTGAGAACCCTACCCCCAGCACTCCCACTACCAGCAGATGACTCAGCTCAGGGAGTCACTCGACGAAACTAGACTAATAATCCATCTTCATACCTCTAGTTGTGGTGAGTTCGACTTCTTCACAGAAGCTGAAAGACTCGAGGCCCTTAAGGCCGAGGAAGAACTGGAACTTCAAAGGAAGCAGACTGAGGACAGTTTAAAGCTGGCCAAGTCCTTTGCCGCCAAAGTTCTTACCAAGAGAAAGTCCAAAAAGAAGGTGACTGCTGTCTAGGCCCAAGCTAAGCTCCTATCTCTTGTAGAAGTTGAACATGAAAGGAACTTGAAACTAGCTAAGTGAGACAAGCACTGGAGCAAAGCAAGCATTAGTAAGAGGATCAGTCCTCACCCAATCAAGAGCGCCATCATCAACGGATGATCAAAAGATGGTGGGATGCTTCTCTCCATGCTCATCACCAGGGACAATCTAGAGGCCGTGACCGAGTGTCCCTCCCATCTTGGCGAGTATGGTTACACCTAATGGCTGGAGATACTACAAGCCATTTAGCGCTCAAAGTCCAGACATAAGACGATTATCGAAGACCTTATCAACAAGTTGATCAAGAAAGTGTCAAGATATATCGTAGTCCCTGAAGTGCCTACGCTGAAGAAAGGAGGAAGAAGAAAAAGACCTTCAAGCCCTAATAATGGACCATCCTGAGGAATGAGCATGAAACAAAGTATTCCTTAGATGAAGTCCTGAAGGCTTCGAAGAAGCCAAAAATCTCTATGCTGAATCTCTCACTGCCAGCGAAGGGTCCTTATGTACCCAACACTATGCACTTCAAGCCTGAGAAAGGAATTATTTTCCTTGACTATAATGGCAAAGTCAGCTTTCAAAGAATGTCTGAGATGCATCTCTGCTGAATAGAACATCTTGCATATCTCCATTATTGGCTGAACGATGACGTATTTGATGAAGCGATGGACATCAGGATCAGAAAGGAATTTCGACGTCACAAGGAGCTCGAAGAAGATGTACCTGGTTACATTAATTTGAACAACTTAGATTAGTTATTTCTTTTGTACTTCATTCTTTCACTGAATAAACTATTTACTATGTCTACTTTCAGTGATTATTCTTATATTTTGTAAGTTTACACATGTACTGAAACACTTGTAATATTTCCTTTGAATTTTATATAAGTATTTTTGTGAATCACTGAAAAAGATCCCTAAAAAGAGTAATAGGGACACAAGTCTATGAGTTCCAGTGTTACTCTTACAAATTCACTGACAATCTATAAGTCAATGAATATGCTTTCAGTTTCAGTTCCCCTTCTTTTAATCTTTTCTTAGACTTGAACTTAAGAAAATTTTCTAAGTAAAGACTAACTCACTGATAAAGATCCTAAAACAATTAAAAGGGACATGTACTTTATATGTAACTTTTTCTTACTTTATTTTATAAGACAACTTTCTTTATGTTGCCTTATTATCATAAAATAGGGGGAGATTGTTGATCCTCTCTTTCAATGATTTGATGATCATCCTTTTACCATATATGAAGTATTTTTGTTTCTGTCTTTCAGTTTCAGAGATCATCGTTGAGTCTGTTTAGTGATCGATGAGAAAATGTAATGTAAATCCATCAGCAACAACGATACTTCAAGAAGACAAAAATCACACCAAAGAACCTTCAGCCAAAGTCGAAGACTGAAACTGAAGATTAGAGACCGGCGAGTTCGTGATCTAAAGCGGTATTCAGTGATTACAACCTTGTCTACACATGTGTGAAGACTTCCCAAGCCTCATCGAATGTTGAAGAGACCTTCAGGTTATTCCAGCATTCAACAATCAAAAGAAGMTTGTTGAGCACGATTGTTTTTGTCTTGTCCTTATACACACAAAGGACAAACCCATACCCTTTCTAGAAGTGTAATATGGAGCCGATTATTTGACTCTACTACCCACTAACTTTATGAAAGGATGTTTGCACATGAATAGGCTTTTGTACTATTCAATGTAGCAACGGACAAGTCTTTCTCTAAAGGCTTGACGCTTGTTCAAACCCTACTACGTTGCATTAAATGTGTATTTAATGCAATGGGTATAGATTGATGTGTTCCATCTCCATGCAGAGATACGAATGATATTTACTCTTGAACCCTAGCTTACGTTCATAAGTAAAAGAACACATATCTAAGAACACAATACGCTTATTTTCAAAAGCAAGCTAGAATCCCTCTTTAGTATTCTAAATAGTTCTTACCCAGAAAGAACTTACTTCCTTCTAAGTCTTAAACAACAAATCATTTCTCTTTGTTAAGAACTAGTGTGTAACTTAGATTGTTTAGATAGGTTATATTTACCTTATCTTTTCGTACACAATCATGTAAAATATGTATTGATTCTTCTTTATCAATATATATTTTAAATTTGAAAAGTTTTCTGTGTTTGTATTCATCCCCCCCTTCTACAAACTATTATACATATCTTGTAGACCCTAGCGGGCCCAACATACTTCCTGACCCTAAAGCTACCCTCAGCTATAGGAAGTGTAAACACTGTGGTGAAACGATACACATTGCAAGTAAGTGTCCTGCCGCCAAGGCTGGTTCACCAGCCAAGGGCAATAAAGTAGCTAAGGATGAGAAATCAACCAAAGCAAAATCTACCACTAAGGTTGTTAAAGAAATCAAGGTAAAGAAAACCATTGGAGCCTCCTCTTCACGCTCAGTAAAGACAATTACTGATGCTAAGCCTTCAGTATCAAGTGTTGTAGTTCTCACTACTGAAGCCTCTTCATCAGGCTCAGTGAAGACACCCACTGACTCTATCTCTCTAGTGTCAGAGGTTGTTCCTATTTCCACTAAAACCTCTCCAGGTTTAGTGAAGCCATCTGTTGACGCTGGTTCTTCAGTTTCAGTAGATGAAGCCTCTAACATTACTGGACCAAAATAGAATGGGTACCAAAAGTATTTTTAAAATGTTCCCTTGTGCAGGAAGTTAAAGGCATATGGTATCTCGATAGTGGATGCTCAAGGCACTTGACGAGAGACAAACCCCTGCTCATTGACTACAAGGAAGAAAGAGGCCCTTCCGTAACCTTTGGAGGTAACGGAAAAGGATATACCAGAGGTTTTGGTATATTAACCTATGGTGCAACCACATTCAGGCGTGTTGCAAACGTTGAAGGACTGATGCACTACCTCCTCATCATCAGTCAGCTGTGTGACAAAGACTACATAATGAAGTTCTCTAAGAATTCATGCTATGTCTATGACAAGGATGATAAGGTTGCCTTAACCGGTTCTCGTCTAGTGAATGTCTACATCGTCAACTTGGATTCCTCTCTCACTGAGAATAGCTGTTTCCTCTCTAAAGCGTCATCAGATATCAACTGGCTGTGGCATAAACAACTTTCTCACCTAAACTTCAAGACACTCAGCGAGTTGTCTACAAATGATCTTGTCATTGGTTTTCCTCAACACTACTTTGCAAATGAATCTTTTTGCTCAGCGTGTGAAAAAGGAAAACAAACAAGAGCTAGCTTTTGAGTCAAAGCAAATCTTTTTAGTGACATCGCCTCTTCAGCTACTGCACATGGATCTCTTTAGTCCAGTGAATGTGCAATCTATCGCTGGAAAGAAGTATACACTCGTCACTGTTGATGAGTACTCTAGGTACACTTGGGTCTTCTTTCTTAGATCCAAAAGTGAAGCACCTGAAGACATCATCTCGTTCATCAAGAAGATAGAAGTACTTAACAATATTAAAGTACGATCTATTAGAAGTGATCATGGTACTGAGTTCAAAAACAGTACCATGGATAACTTCTATGAGGACAAAAAAATTTCTCACAACTTTTCTTCAGTGAGAACTCCTCAGCAAAATGGGGTCGCTAAAAGGAGAAATCAAACAATCATTAAGGCTGCTCGATCAATGCTCAACGAGTCCCATCTCTCTACTGATTTCTAGGCTGAAGCTGTCAACACCACTTGTTTCACACAAAATCGATCGCTGATCGTTAAGAGGTTCAAGAACACAGCTTACGAACTTTTCCATGGAAGAAAGCCCTCCATCATCTTTCTACATATCTTTGGTTGCACATGTTATATTCTCAACAACCGTGATCAACTAGGAACATTCGATCCCAAAGCTGATGAAGGATTCCTTGGATATTATTCAGTGTCCAAAGCCTTCAGAGTATTCAACAAACGACAACAGACAATAGAAGAAACTATTCATGTCACCTTTGATGAATCTCAATAAACTAATTCTAAACCCATCATAAATGATGATGAAGATTTAGAAAACTGGATGTTTTCTCATTATGGACAACCTGAAGCTTCCTTCAGTGTTCCTCTCAACATGGAAGCCCCAGAAGCTAAAGATGATCCATTAATCATTCCAGTTGCAGCTAATCACACCAATCTGTCTTCTTCATATATCACTGTTGTGCCCATTAGCTATGTTCCTTCTTCTACTTCAAACACTGATCAATCAGTGAATGAAATGCCTTCAGCATCTGAATCTGAGGCTCCTTTAGCAATTTCTCCAACCGCTGAAGAATATGCAACTGAACTCTCATCCTCTGTTCTTGAACTTTTATGCTCAGATGATAATCCTCTACCAGCTCAATGATGGACTAAAGACCATCCAAATCATCAAATTCTTGGTGATCCAAGTGCAGGTATTCAGACTCTTCGTGGTCTAGGTAATATATGTCTCTTTGTCAACTTTCTTTCTTTAGTTGAGCCCAAGAAGATCAATGATGCTATCTTAGATCCTAGCTGCCATGCAAGAGGAGCTCATTGAGTTTGATAGGAACAAAGTGTGGTATCTTGTCCCATATCCATCTGACAAGACAGTGATAGGCACCAAATAGGTCTATCACAACAAGTTAGATGAAGAAGTTATGGTAACCCGTAACAAGGCTCGACTTGTTGCACATGGTTATAGACAAGAAAAAGGGATCGATTATGACGAGACCTTCCCACCAGTAGCTAGACTTGAAGCAATTTGACTCTTTCTAGCTTTTGCTGCCCATAGAGACTTCAAGCCATGGAAGAAGATACGACATGGCTACGAATGTGAAGCTGCTTCTCCCAACAGTCGAGACTGTCTTCATCAAGATGGACGAGGTCCATAAAGACATGTCTCGCGGAGACGAAGTCGCTACTGACCTCTCAGCCATCAGGGTTGAAGTTCAAGAGGTCAATGGCCAGCTCTCCACACTACAAGTGGCCGTTGAAGCAAATGTTGAGGCCATCGCTGCTCTAACGAACAAGGCCGATGAAGCAAACTCCCATTATGTCTAGCAAGTGGAGCTGATGCAACAAGTTTTGGCCGCTCTCAATCGGCCAGTGCTAGCGCCTCTACCCTCTTTCACTGCTGATGACCACGCCCAACTTAATGAAGCACTTGAAGAAACAATCAGCCTAGCCACCTAGCCAGCGAGCTGACACGGCTAGAAAAGATGATGGTACTCCAAATCCTGAGCGTCGACCAACTCTTTGGATATTGCTCAAGAGCTATTTCCAGAGAGGGGGAGATAAGGTCTGACGCTGGACCATCTACTGCTGTTGTTGCCTCTTTACCTGCCGCTCCCACAACCGATAAAGATGAAGCTGAAGCTCCTAGAGCTGAAGCTGATGCTAATGTTGTCAATGAAATCCCAACCTCCTATGAAGCTCTTGCACCTGAGGAAGTTGATGTCGTCCGAGCTGACACTAAAGCTCGCGACGATGATCTTCCTATCACCTATGCAACTAATGCTGGTGATGTGGAAGATGATGATGAAGAGGATGACGATGAAAATGGTGAGTCTCCTGACCTCCCTGACTCCGACAGTGAACTGGATGACGACGATTTCACAATCTAGTAGCAGCATCCTGCTAATGCTGCAAAAGGTGTCACCCTCAGGGATTCCGCATCCCAGTGGGAGCAAAAGGGAGATAAGGCTAGTCAAGAAACGTACCAAGGCACTAAGTCGAAAGGCAAAGGTGTTGCTGAAGAAGGGAACCTCAAGCTACTTTTCAAACCCCTTGAACCCTTATATGATTAGTTCTCAAGCCAAATCACCATTAATTCAATGTACCAACTCTCCATCCCCTCAACTACCTAAGGTCGACTGGAAGAATGGGTCCCTGAGAACCCAACTCCCAGCGCTCCTACCAAGCAATAGATGACTCAGCTCAGGAAGTCCCTCGACCAAACTAGAGTAAAAATTCCTCTTCGTACCTCTATTGTGGTGAGTTCGACTTCCTGACTTAAGTTGAATGACTCGAGGCTATCAAGGCCAAGGAAGAACTTGAACTTCAAAACAAACAGACTGAGGACAACTTAAAGTTGGCCAAGTCTCTAGCCGTCAAAGTTCTTCCATAGAAAAAATCCAAAAAAGACGGTGAACGATGTCCAGGCCCAAGTTAAGCTTCTGTCTATTGCAGAGGCTGAACGTGAAAAGAACCTGAAGCTGGCCGAACATGACAAGCGTTGGAGTGAAGAATGCCTGAATAAGAGAATCAACCCTCATCCAATTTCAAACGTTAGCATCAGCGGACAGATAAGATACAGTGGGATGCTGATCTTCATGCTCATCACCAGGGATAATCTTGAGACGATCACCGAGTACCCTTCCTACCTAGGTGAATATGGCTACATCAAATGGCTAGAGATCCGCCAAGCCATGCAGCGCTGAAAGTCTCGACATAAGCTGATTATCATAGACATCATCAGCGAGCTGATCAAGAAGATGTCCAGGTATGTGACAGTCCCTGAAAGGCCAACACTGAAGAAAGGTGGAAGAAGTCCTAAAGGCATTAAAGAAGCCAGACATATCAATGCTGGATTTCACACTACCAGCGAAGGGTCCTTACATACCCTACACTGTGCATGTGAAGCCTGAGTTAGGACTTATATTCCTTGACTATGATGGCGAAGTTAGATTTCAAAGAATGTCTGAGTTACATCTATACCCAATGGAACATCTCAGATATCTCAGGTTCTGGCTAGATGATGTCTTCAAAGGTGAAATGATGAACCGTAAGATCAGAAGGGAGTTTCTACGTCGAAAGGAGCTTGGAGAAAATGTACCTAGCTTCATTAATCTGAAAGACCTAGACTAGTTACTTTCCTTTGTAATTTGTCCATTCACTTTATAATCCTTTATTCTATGTCGACTTTCAGTGTTCAAACTTTTATTTTGTAAGTCTTAGACATGTACAGAACGACTTGTAATATTTCCTTTTGAAATTAATATAAGTATTTCTTGTGCATCACTTAAAAAGATCCATAAGAAGAGTAATAGGGACACAAGTCTATGAGTTCTAGTGTTACTCTTACATTCACTAACAATCTATAAGTCAATGAACATGCTTTCAGTTTCAGTTTCCGTTCTTATATTTTTTCTTAAACTTGTAACTTAAGAAAAATTTCTAAGTAAAGACTGACTCACTGAAAAAGATCCCAAAACAGTTAAAAGTGTCACACCCCGCTAAAGTAGAAACACGAGATGTAACAGGTAAGCGAGTCACAACAACCGTTAATAAATAACACCTTTCAAATTTTACAATATAAAACAAGTTTAACATCATAATCAAATTTTGATAAATAAATCTTTTACAAAAACTTCAAATGCGAACTTAGTCGGTCTTGTCAAAAGTATGCTCCCAAAATACATCCTTTCTTACTTATTACCTGAAAAGCATGGAACATAAAACGAGTCAACTACAAAGAGTTGGTGAACTCACGGGTTTTCACATGCATAAAACATTATAATGCATAAACCATTTATTTGCAAACTTATACGTAAACTTTTTGCACTGAATAAATGTAAATCTACCACAATGTATAAACTTGAGACGCTACTGAGCCTTACCTGACCAACGTGCCCCATTATTTTACGAACGACCATAAGTAGCCCGTACACATACTTAGGTCCCACAGTTCGTAGTAGTACTAATACATCATTTATGAGTACGGGTTCACAGTCTAAACCACCTATGCTCATTCGTGAGGAATTTCCTCAATGGAAAATTCGAATGGTGAGTTTTCTTGAGGTATTCATCGTAGGATTTGCGAATTCCTGTACAATCCTCCTTACGTCCCAATGAACCTCCTTCCAAGAGTTCCTGCAACTCAAACTACACCAAGATACCTGAGCATTATGAGCCTCGTCCCGAAGCTAACTGGAGTGACGAAGACAAGTAATCGTCGAATTAGGGAACAAATGTAAATGGTTGTTAATCATGGCTATTCCTAACGACATCTTCAAATGCATCGATCACTGTCAACTGTCCATGGACATATGGCAAGAACTGGAGAAATTAATCGAAGGTGGAAGGAAGACGCTAAAGAACAATCGTTCGATTTGCATCGATGAATACTACAGCTTCAAGGCCRAAGARGGTGAGTCTCTTATGGATACATACGCTAGGCTAAACACGCTGATTAGCAACTGTAAAAGGTATGGTATCCCCAGAACCACAGAGGAGAACAACTCACTGTTTTTGAAGAGCCTTGGGGATGAATGGTCGACTATTACAATGTCCTTGAAGGCCATTCTAGATCTCGAGACATGGACGTTAGCAGACTTGTTTGGATCTCTCAAGAGTCAAGAGTCCCAAGTTAYGCAAATGAAGAGAAATCTAGGTGGCCCTCTGGCTCTAGTTGCAGAAGACGGGTGCTCCGGCAAAGGAAAGGAAGGGAAGGAGGCGAAGAAGGAGAAGAAGAAGAAGAAAAAAATGGTGCTGCTTGCAGACAGTGGCAACAGCTCTGAAGAAGAAAAGATCTCCATGAAGGAGATAATGAAGACTCTTGCATTGATCACAAGAGAATACAGAATGGGTGGAGACAGGAAGGAGTACAAAAACTTCAATCGCAGAAGCTTCATAGAAGGAGAGAGAGATCTGAGAAGAAAGAGAAGGAGCAGAAGCCCTTTCAGAGGGATGAAGAACAGAGGAAGGAAGAGCCCAAGGATGGCTGCTTCAAATGTGGCAAACCTGGCCACTATGCTGCAGATTGCTGGTCCAAAGGACCCAAGGCACCACAGAGGGGTCCAAAAGAGGCAACCTTTTACAGAAAGAAGACTGAATACTACCAACAGAAGTCACTACTAGCTCAATCTAGTGAGCTAGTCACAGATGAATCCTCTGACGATGATAATCAAAAGGGTCTTCTTGCATGGGAAGACT